CCACGGCCCTCCAACGGCTTACCCTGCAGCTTACACATGCGGGCCACCAAGATATTGTCCGCACCAAGCAATGGCTTAACAGCAAGGTTTGGTGGCCCAACATGGCTACTGAAGCCGAAGCACTCTGCCGGCAATGTATTCCGTGCCAAGCAACTCTCTCAACGACACCGCTACGTCCGGGAGTCCGTGCCCACACCACCGTCCACCAAGCCGTGGCAACGAGTCTTCGTCGATTTGTATGGACCCATGCCTAACGGTCAGCACCTGCTTGCCCCTATCGACCAGTTGACTCGCTACCCGGTCATCAACGTGTTCAGCACGACACCCACTACGGCCGGTGTTGTTAAAGCTCTGCGCTCTACATTATCCAGGTTCGACTTGCCCGAAGAGCTAGTCTCGGACAACAGTCCTCAGTTCCGTTCTTCGGCTTTTGCTGATTTCCTCGCGCAACACGCTATCCAGCACCGCCACACCCCTCCTTTGTGGCCACAAGCAAACGGAGCAGTCGAGTGCCTCAACCGTACCATTGGCAAAGTTCTGCGAACTGCCAAACTAGCTGGCGAAGACATCAATGTTGCATTAGACCAATGGCTCCTAGCGTACCGCACCACGCCACACCCTGCCACTCACGAGGCACCGGCAACACTCATGTTTGGTCGCCCCATCCGCGACAGCCTACCCTGCATTACGGCAGCCGCACCAGACTTGCCTTCAGCTGCCCACCGTGACCAGCAATTCCGCCAATCCCAGTGCGACGCTGCCAATGCCACCCGCCGGTCAAACACCCCCATCCTCACTCCTGGTCAGCGCGTCTTACGCCGCAATGAGCAGGCACACAAGCTCTCACCACAGTGGGATCCCAACCCCTGGACCGTGGACCAGATCTCTGGGTCTACGGTGACAATCTCCAACTCAGCAACTGGCCAAAGATCGACTCGCCATAATTATGTCGTTCGTCAAGCCCGTAATTGTTGTCACACCGCCAGCCCATCACCCACTACCAGCTGAAAGTTCTGCCACCACACCTTACAAAATTACAACAAAATCACATGCAAGAAGTCCTTTCACTTTGACTACTGCTCGTTGCGTGACATCACTCCTCACCAAAGGACTTCCTGGGGATCACAATCCTAAACAGACAAATGTACGAATACCGCAACTGTCTCTGTTGTTCTGCACGCCACGTTCAACACGACTGCGTGCAAGACACAGCTGATCATCGTCGCTGTACTCTTCCCTGAGCACGTTACCCTGTCGCTGCAGCCTGCGACGGACATTCCATAGTTCCACCAACTTGATGGCTTGATGTTCCCATTGACGTCGACCATGCGGTGTTGCCATTGACGACCTTCAACTTCAGGTCCTTGCCGTGGTCCGCACCATTCAAGAGATGGGCCACATTTGGTGTACTTTCACCCAGTTGGTCACTTATTTTAACCTTGCCGACTTTCCACTGCCGGACTGTTGCTTCAACAACTGGCGGAGAGCATATACGCATATCATCACTCTTCCTTGCAAACATCATTTCCGTCTCCACCACGTCCTTATCAGCCTGATCCATGCCTGACACCCCCAAGGCACTGTCCACTGTGCCGCCGGGCTGGTGGAGCGACGGACCGATTCTCCAGTGACGGTCGTCGTCCACAAGGCTGTTGGAGTGCGCATCCAAGATGTGCTAGAGCTGTTCAGTGTCGTGCAATGCTATCGCATGAGCTGATTGTTTAGTAACTGGTGGTGTTAGTGGACAGTATAGCGTAACTTGTAGTTCCTTGGTCTTTCTCTTTTGTATAAACAAACTACAAGTAGTAAGCTAACGATAAACTAGTTACACTGAGACAATTCGACAGGCACAAATTACAACAAAATCACATGCAAAATGTGCTTTCACTTTTACTACTGCTCGTTGTGTGACAACCACCATCATCAGTGTGCGCATTGCGCCTGGTTTGGTGCATGCCTGGTGGAATCTGACATAGCGGCTGATGCAGTGGGCACGTCAGGTAACACCTAACGCAATGAAAATGACTCAACTATGACTTGGTTCGATTGCAACAAACCTAATGATAGTGGTACCGAAACATTCGGGTAACCGGAGTAAGTGCCAATTGATATTTTTGGCTCCAGTCAGTAAAGTGATTCAATTGCAATACAATTATATACGTACGGTGGAACTCACTTAGTACGTACCCGGGTAAGACATACACCTGCATAGCACGATCCTCTTTTGTCGCACGAATTTTCCTCCCATAAGCACATATTCAGATGTGTACGGATACCTTCTGTTCATGTGATTCATTGTCGCTGTGTTACTGTATGCAGATCTCACTCAGCTCTGCTCTCCGAGCATTCTGCTTCCAACACGACTTCCCGAAAGGTATGTATGGTGGCTAATAATGTGAGAGTCTTTACAGATTCCAGTGCTCTCATGCCTTTTGCAAGTTCCGTTTGTAAGTCAAATGGAACATGGTTTGTGGTCAATACTTCAGCAGTAGTGGTGCGAGAATATTCGGGTGTCAAATTGCTCGGAATTGATGTATGATAACGGAGAATATACCAACATGTGAATCACTTGGAGATATGGTTTGCCAGGTTCTGTTCACACTCACTAGGCTAGACCCTCTCGAGTATTGTACAACAGTTTTGGCCCAGGAGTGGTAAAGGGCACGGGGCAAGCTATGTCGGGACCTGCTGTAAAGTCTGCCATACACGAGCTGTACGTCTTATCGGATGGGATATACCCCTGATATTGCTGATAATGAATGGCCCAGTTTCATTGTACTGCTGTCCGCGATATTATATCCTTAGTGGCATTGTTAACTTCTCATTGCTTGTGGGGACGCATGGATCATATGTCCATCCAACACCTGCCAACCGGAACCCACCGACAACGCTGTCGGTTGGGGTGGACCACAATCGGTTGGTTTTTGAGTCCAAGATGCCACCTAGGTAGCACACAGCATTGCTAATCTGATTTTAAATTAGCTGCGCAAATCCTGGCATACTTCCCGTAAATGCATCTAACTCCCAGGGTACTTATGAGTTTTTAGGTCTATGTGGTACTTGTGTCGCATTGGCAGCCACTGTTCCGTTCTGTATTTTCTGGTCTATGTGTCGTTGAATCTCCACAGAAAATGTGCTCGCGCATTAGAAGGAGGTGAAAGATGCACCTGCAGGAGAATACATGCTTAAGAGAAGGCAGAAACATGCCCGGATCCACCAGAACTAGTGCTGGCAAGTCAACAGAGGCGAGTACTGATAATGTTCCAGATTGTGGTAGGATCACATAAGCAAAATTGACACTGGGAGGCACGGCGGTGGGTCAGCTCATGGCCAGCGCCAGCTCCAGTGGATATCACGTGCATCCAGTTCTAGTACTATAGTATGACTGCTACAAAGTAGTGCGGCCCAAATAGAACTCGGGTCAGGTGCCGAAGAACTGGGGGGGGGGGCATGTGTCAATGAATGGTAATAACTCCGGAAATCATGCTGGTGTATCGAGGGCGTGGGCCAATGAAGTGCTGGATTGATGGTGGACGACTGTACTGCAATCTTGGCTGGTCCCACTATCGCAGAAACAGCACTTCCTGGTGCAACCACCCTATCCTGCAATCTATATAATAATTATTATAAGAGATTTGTGTGAACGATTTTAGCATGATGCAAGTCAGCTTATTGTGCTGGGGGCCTGGCTACATGTCACTATAGCTTTTTATTGACTCGATCACCGCATTACGCTGCCTTGCGTTGACTTGATTGAGCACTCTTTTTGGTTAGTGTCAAAGGTATATGTAATATGTATCTGCCTTCGTGCAAAGCTCTCTTTGTGCGTGTCTTGCAGATAGCTCGCTGACTTTGATGCTTTGAGCCATTTTCAAATTGCTTTTTTGTTCATTTCATATAGACCGTATTGCCATTTGTTTAACCTCCCGCTCTGAGCTCCACTGATGGGACCTAAAAAGGCTGAAACAGCTGTCTGGAGATTGAGCGTCAGTATTATGGATTTAGAATACACGATCTGGGGACAGCACTAGTACTGTCTAGCTGTTTCGTCCTTTGTGGACTCATCAGCGAATCACGGAGAAATAACTCTTAACTAAGGATGAACCTAGCAGCCATGAAAATAGATAAATAATGCCTCCAAGCCAGAATTCAAGGCTACATGTGTAGGCCCGAATGTGCCTTGCCCGAGTGCTGAAACTGATAAGTCATTGAGATACGCATAGAACATCTGGCAAAGGAACTACTAAAGCCCCCACAAGCACGGTATTCTACTTCAACAAGGAAGAATTTTGAAAGCATGCACAGCCCTACATGTATAATGTTGGTATAGGTAAGCCTTGTTTGATAAATTAACATGACAAGGCGGGGGACGCACTGTGTTAAAAAACAGTGCTCCTGATACACTAGTGTGTCCTCGGCTTTGTCACATGCTGTCAACCGATCAACACATACAACGTTGCATGCAAAACGGCTGCAGCCTCGAAGTACGGAGTGCTATTTTGGAAAATGCTAGATATACAGCCTGTACTTATACAGGTGTTCTATCAACTAGTGCCATTATGACAACGGTAGCTGAATGATACATGTACATAAACCCGGGGTCATCATTGCAAGAACCTCTGGGTCTAAGCCCGAAGTAACATTCAACTACATGACTGTATACACCATCATGTATACACCATCTTCGTAGTAACTGAGTCTACCCCTCACCCACTACTGCCACTGTGACCACAATTGCGCACAAACAGAGGACCTTAGAGGACCTACTTCTAACTACAGTGCTGGCCAAAGAAATCCAACCTTATGAATAAAATTGCACCGGGCGCTACGCAGCCCTAGTAGTAAACATACTGGACCGGTCTGTGCTCTCGAACGCGGCGCTACTTTATTAACGAGGTTGGATTTCTCTGGCCAGCACTGTACAAAATACACACATGCACACACAACACTGCTAGGCTTTCCACCACCAAACTAGGTTTTGAAACCGAAGAGTGGCAAAATTCAGGGCCAGACTAGAAAATCTGGGGAGACCTGATGGTTTTTTAAAGCAAAACACAGCCAACACTCTGCAGCCTCACAGCCTCAGGCAGGTTTTCCCGAGTGCACAAAATTAAAAGTTGTTGAGGCACCACGAATACAGTCGGGCGTCACAGAACGTGGGACCCAGGAATGTACGTGTATAGTATACCTCTAGGAACACCACAGCCAATAACGTTTTAAAACGAAACGCAGTGTCAATAGACTCAAGTCTCTGCTTTTCTGGAATACAGATTCTGCTACACACGTATTGCTCACTATCCAGTGGGATGTGCATCTAAGAAGGTGGTACAAGAAGTCAAGGAACTAAGCCTAAGGCCAGATTGCTGAAAGGTTTTGTATAACTGACGAACCTGACCTTGGAAACAACAGCCGTGGATACGTGGCTTTACTGTAATAAATGTACAGGTACACAAACAATTTGAATGCAGAAATAACAACAACAAACAGGGAGAGATGTAGGAAAATATACTCGGCCCCTAGTGAATTTGCTTGTGTATTAGCTTGAAAACTTTGGGTACACTTGTTGAGAGACCTAACTGCATGCAGCTAAAATATGGAGTGCCGTTGTCACCGACGACTTTTCCAGTAAAGTTGCGGCTAACATCTTCTCAGGTATTCCCGGGTCTTCGCTAAGGCCGTAAGGGTGAATGATAATTATCATGTGCGTCTTCTATTGCTGATGTCGCTACACTCGATGGTGGTGCTGATGTACTGATTGTGGTGGAAGATATTGAGATGCCGTACGTCTCGAACCTTTTCGCCAAGTCTCCGCGGCCATCGCGCAAGAGGGTCGGGAGCACCACAACTGCAACGCCACAGATCCAAGGATCGATTCTCGGACAAAACATTCTTCAGATTGCCAAAGGTCCCCAGTGCTTGGCAATACTGGCCTGTACAGCATGAACACACCACACATACGCCCACACACCATGTACCATGTAAACGCCCGTTGCAGGAGAAGCACGCAAATCTGCAAATGAATTGGATGTGCACCCACAGATTTTCTCGTATAGGAACAATAGCTGATCTGAATCTGAATAAAACAGATCAAGACTAGTGCCAGATAACAGTCTAATCCGCACAAGGCAACTGGCGCAGCCATGTGAATCTCGAGCAAAATGGACAAACATGTCCCCAATTATCAGCAAACGGGTGTGCGTTACAGGATTGGCCTGGCAACTTCAAACAGGCACAATCCACTAACGTGGTGCCCCGTCAACTTCAACGGGAACACACCGATACAAACACAGCCCACAACAGCAAAACGGGAACGCCGTTACAAATATGGTGCCCTGGCAACTTAACGGGAACGCACCAACACAAGCTGGCCTGGCACCTTCAAACAGGCACAACTGACAAAACACGGCATCCGGCAACAGCAAATGGGTAGGTACACCGTTACAAGAACAGTCCATCGCACCAAAATGCTGCTGCCACAACATTATAGCAGCAGCACGCCAGACATGCATACATGGCATTCCCAAAAGCAGATACCTGGAGTCAAATTCATCCATCACACTGTTTGTTAGGGCTGAATTTTACAGTGACAATAGCAAATCCCACCTAAGGCACATGTGATGAGATCTGTACACCAACTATTGTCACAGAATCAATGCACATTAGTAGAGCATTAGAACTCACTTGCGCTCGTACCCTGTCACGTAGAGATGCTACTCTACGTGTACTGTTCCAATGTCCATTGGGGTGGTATGCCGGCCACTTGCCAGATGTAGAGCTTTTAAGCCGTACTTTGCCACCGTCTGCTTGCCGTATCATCACCTCACTTGCAACTCTGGATTCCAGGACTGTCGCTCCAACAATGGGCATGGAGCGGGAGCTAACCTGATAACAGTTGAGAGCGTGACAGAGTATCTTATTTAAATAAGGCCGAGTAAGGTGGATCCCTTTGGCAAAAGTGAACACAGGCTTGGTGCTACAGGCATGGGCTGTCATGTACCGGAATAGCCAATACCGGGCATGTTTCGTCGACAGTAGATGGAACTGCGACGGCTCCACCGTATATGGCCGCGTCTTAGTGACCTTCAGGCGCAACGTGACCAAGTCAGGTGCGAGACTCCCAGCCTCCCACACAAATACTCTTTGGCTGTCAAACGAGTGAATACTAGTAGATGATGCTAAATACTCGCTGGCAAACAATACGCCATACAAGGCCAGTAGTATACTTACCCACAGCATAGCCTGATCTACAATATGACTGATTGGATCGTTGTAAGTATTGCCGAAAATGGATTAAGTCGTCCACTAAAAGCTCTTTGAAACTCGGATGTTGAGCCAATATGGCAATAATAAAATTAATGTAGAAAGGAAAAGGAGGTATGGATATGAGTGTAGAGTAACTGTCACTATATACTAAATACAGTCAGAAAGTGCAACAACCAGGCACTAAAACATTTGACGACCCGACTCCTGGCTTCAACACATCTCCGTAGTGTTAAGGAGAGACCAAAGAGGGAAAGGTAATACTGGTTTCGTCATCGTCCAGTAACAATCAACATTTCTTGTTCTTGTGGGACTGTAGCTTCAACTACTAGCTTGTGCTCATTTTCGTTGCGCTTACCTTCCCCTCTTTGGTCTCTCCTCTTAACCTTGAACCTTCCAAGTTGGAAGGCTGTTGGTTAGCGCTACGGAGATGTGTTGAAGCTAGGAGTCAGGTCGTCGAATGTCTCAGCACTCTGTCAGTTTTGTGCCTAGTTGTTGCATTTTTTTTACTGTAGTAGCTAGTTACAGTGGTGGACAGTTACTCTTAACTCGTATCCATATGTCCTTTTCCTTTCTAATAAAAGCTCTATCCGCAAATATGCCGAGGCGGCTTGCCGTCTCTCCCTCTATGCCATGAAACACAACTGTTGAGCGAGCAGCTTTTAGGCCAGCCCCATTGCACAACAGGTAATAGGCTACTAATAGCGTAACGCAGCTAGGTAAACACGAATCGATGAAAGAGGCAGACTTCTTAGAACAAAGAGACTAGTTGTGAAGGACACAACATTTTCAGCAGTCAGCAGTAGGAGAAATTGCTCTTAAAATTATGCAGCAATACTAGGCTTACACGTTTGTGTCATGCGTTCCGAGACGGAGTCCTTGACTAGCTCGTCACTGGCCGCACTCAGAGCAGCAGTCGTCACTACACATGGGTTGGGAAGCAATGGACAAAATTAACACTTGCCATGCACATGCACTGCTTACCAGCTAAGTTAATATGTCATACTGTACTGCAGCAAGCAAGGAACTGGCAATACCTGCACCAGGCCTATCTACTGTGACCCATGCCATTGTGAATGAGAAGAGGCAGCATTTGACAGTATGAGCGGTGTGATGAACGGGAATGCATAATACAAGCCAGTCGAGTATAGGTACATGTACTTACGGACGCAAGTTGGCTGCACACCGCTCCACTGGCCGTTGATTTCACAAGTACGCACGGCCGAGCCCATAAGGACATAGGGAGATGTGCACACAAACGTGGTCGTGTTGCTGAACATCAAGCCGTTCACGGTCATTGAGCCCAGTGCCGGTGGTGACAGGACCTGGCAGTCGGTTTGACCTGCACAAGCACAGAGTGCACAGAGCACAGGCATTCAGTGCATGCATGTTTGGCCTAGTAGTGAAACGAGTGCCAAAATTGAGGACTTGAGTACTCTTTGAAAAAAAGAGCGAGTATTCGAGCGAGTACGAGTATTTTACTGACAACATAAAACAATGTACTGCACACACCCTCGTAACACTGAACGTATTACACCTGATACACATGTAGTCTTGCATGCAGCCTAGTGCAGGAAATAGTCTGAACTACGTCTTTCGCTGGTAAGTAGGGACAAGTAATAATTTCACACTTGCATGGGTTATCAGTACTGGTCAGAGTAACAGACGTGCTTGATGTACAAGCATACAGTACACTGTGCATAAGATACTTTGAGTATTTTGCGAAGCGAGTCCTCACTCCTTTCGAATTTTCGAGCAAGCGCTCGAGTATTCGATATACTCGTTTCATCCCTAACACGTTTGCGTATGTGTGCGTGGCACAGACGTTGGTTTTGAATACATTGTAGTACACGCATTGTGTAAAGGAAATTGATGCGAAGACTGCCTCAACATGGCCATGCAAAGTAATAAAATAAATACAGCAGTGAATAGCGGTCAACAGTAGCTCTACATTTTGCTTGTAATAGAAGTCATTAGCGTCAGAGCAAGAAGAGGGACAAGACGAGTCAAGGGACAATCCGGAGGACGCAATACCATACGACCAACTGTTTGTTTCTACCAGCGTTATTGTACCGTCGACACAGCTCTGACGACGATATACTGGGCGAATGCCGCGGGGCCTCCCAGCGTGTCAGCGGCAGTGGGTGATGGGTAGATAACAAGGTAGCTTGCGGACAACATCGGTGGCATGAAGCCTAGTGACTGCCAAGCGTCTTGGCGCGACGGGCGAGCAGTACAGTGTCATGCCCCAGGGGCTGCTGTGGCTGTCGACGTCGGCGGGTCGTGAGGTGCGTTTGCAGGCCTTCATGGCGCTCGGACAACTGCAATACTAGTACACAGACTCTCACTACTAGCTACATAGTACTCTGATTCTGGCACGTTATTTCTGCACTGAATAGTGATTGATTTTCCGCGCCGAATATCCGACGCTGCATGCATGTCCAATGCGCGTCAACAGTACTTCACACTTTCCTTTTCCCGCGTTATCACCTCAGCTATGCCAGTTTTGTATGTGGAAACCCCCTATATAATAGCAGTTTGGTCTATATCTTTAATCATTCAATATCTACCTTCACTGATGAGCTATGTATTAGCGAAGCAGCTGTCTGAAGGAGTTTATCAATATCGTGTACGGAAGTGTCCTCGCAATGGTGATGGTTGTGTGCAGGAGGGTCTAGTCGGCTAAAGAGCGCAGTGTGGTGGTGGAGGTGACTCAACATTTTCTTCAATGGCCGAGAGCTCTGTCGCACCCTGTAATAATAATAGAAGTCATGGTACTACTATCAGTGCTGCTGCTGGTGCTTACCTGGAGCTGGTGTGACCTTGCCTGGGCAGTACTGTGCATCAGAGCCATCAGCACAGTCGTACCAAACACCGTCGCAGCGCTGTGATGGCAGGATACAGCCACTGGAACGCAGGCAGGGCAGGTAGCCAGACTGGCACTGCAGTTGAATGGCTGGATACACGTACCCATACACACAACACACAAAGCAGTCAAGAGATGAAGAAAGTGTCTGCTCGGCACATCTTTTGTACAGTCAAGAGATATTAGCATATTTGGAGGAGGTGGTAGCCTAAAACAGGCTCGACAAAAGTTACCGGTTTATGCCAACAACTCTCAGTGTTCTGGTAGAGTAGACGGTTCGATACCGGAACGCCTTGACAGCCAAATTTGTATAGACCCAAACCGATCATCAGCATTGATTTTTCACTCGAAATATGTTTGTGGAAGGAAACTGGCATGTTGAAGTTTGCTCTGGGGCCAGAGTCAATCGAACTGAGCCACTCCTTTGTGTTGACCCATTGCCTCGAAGTTGCCCAATTTTTCGCTTCAAAAAAGTTCAAATCAGAGGTGGCTCCAAACCGGACACGTTTTAGAGTGCACGTCAAATTCACTCTGGGTCTGAAATTAGGTAATTGCTATCGCTCCACGACGGCCAGTACAGAGTAACAATAAGCCTTGTGTGTGCTTCCATTAGTTTTGATTGGTATGCGGTGCTTTATTGGCAAGAGGCGAGCCGCTGTTTACCTGCGACAAGAAGTTGATTTTTCGAAAGTCGTAAAACTCAAGTCGCAGTGCGAAGCAACACGTCAAAAACTCACCTGCTTGGTATGGCGCGTCTGGTCATCGCAGAGCCATGAAATTTTGGCTCGGAGTATAACACATCGTAGCCTCACTGTGACATATGTTTTCTAATCAAAATACCAAGAGAGAAAGTGAATATTGAGTCCGTTCCGGTTTGCAACCTGTGTCCTATTTGAAACCGTCGCCTCTACCCGGTGAAACACCCTAACCATACACCTACAAGTATAACATATATCCTAAGGACTCAGGCTGAGATGCCCGACTGATCCTGGGTCCTGTGATAAGCACGATCATCATTTGTGATGATGAAAAGTGGCAGGTAACACCCAGACTATTACATGCTCTGTAAATAGGAAAGATCAACGCCACCAGAATCTGCCTTCCTACAAGCCTGAAGCTTCTCTACACAAGAGGGATATATTGGCTCTCTTGAAATTCAACTTACGATTACATGAGGCAGCTGCCGCACTCCAGGAACCGTCAATCTGGCAGATGCGCACAATGCTTCCCTGCAGGTTGTATCCGGAATTTCAGCCGAAGACGACGCTGCCTCCAGCAGAATAGTTTGTGCCCTGGGAGTAGCCGTTGGTCGGTTTAGCTAGCGGTGCTGTACACGTCACAGGCACGTACACACACAGGCACGTACACACACAGGCACACACACACACACAGGCACACACACACACACAGGCACACACACACACACACACACACACACACACACACACACACCTTGACCTTGATACACAAGGATTCTTCATTATTTGCCACGTTTGAGCTGAGCTGCGATTATCGCGCTTTGTTGCAGTGTGCTAAAAACACAAGAACAAAAAAACGGCCAAAAAAGTGGGGCGGCTGAGGCCGCCCCAGCCACCCCAGCTGTGCCAGCCTTGCATGCCTGGTGTACGGTCTGAAAGATGAAAGATGGAGCTCTTGTATACACGGGCCCGGAAAGTCTGCTTCGCCTGCTCGGCAGCAGCTTTGTAGTGGTGGTCAAGGGTCGAAGACCGACGGATACGGATCAACTCCCCAGTGATCACACCTTTACCCATACTACGGGGGTGGTTACTACCGGCAAGCAGATACAGGAAACGATTGGTGACCTTGAAATGAGGCTTCACTGCCATGTATCCCTTACTACGGAAACCTGTGGTGTCCAGGAAATCAATGCCATCATGTGCCAGTTCATGCGCAAACTCGAGGGCCGAACACTTATTAATCCTGTCTAAAGCGCGCTGAACTTGACCTTCGTAACCATGCAATGAAACAAAAATGTCACTGATAAAGCGTCTATAAACCTGAACCTCTAAACCCTCCCCCACTAAGATCGGCAAAATGTACCGATTCTCCAAATACAGCATAACAATGTCGGCATAGACCACTGCTGCAGGCGAACCCATGGCAGTCCCTTGGATCTGCGGAAACAAATCGTTATCGTACACGAACCCCTTAGTCTTCCGAATGACTGACATCCAGGAAGTCACTGCTGTTGTTAACCGTGTACGAAGGGCCGGGGGCATCCACCTTGTATACCTGTGTGTGATATACCACGACAATGCCACGTGGGGCCGAGCTCGTTGGAGATGTTGGTGTAAAGGCTGGTCACATCTATACTCAAAAATAAATGATCGTCCCGCACAGGCAAACCTTCTACCAAGTTGATGAAATCCGTAGTTCAGGCCAGAACAGTACTTTCCTCACGTACATACAGGTTCAGTAGAAAGTCAATGAACTTAGCGGGATAGTAGCCAGGACTATTCAGACTAACAATAGGCCTAACCTTCAGGGCACAGGGCTTATGTGTTTTGATTAGTCTCCTGAAAACGGGCATGCGCCCCCGGTGCGACTAAGAACAGTGACATATAAAATGGTCATACGGTGCCCAATGCGATGCCTAGTCATGGTGAGTAAACAATTGACTCGGGTCGCAAACACGAAGTCTCAACACAGCCTTGAGCCTGTTGGTTGCCATCGGCAGTCTAGCCCCATGTTCATCTAGCCCCTCAGGAAAAAAAAACAGTCATTTATAATGTTTGGCATTGTGATGCTGGGCACGACCTATATCATCATAGTGAGATCCGTCCAGGACTACTATCACAATAGACTGCCTTTGAATATGCCCGAGTCTGATCGCGTTCTAATTCCCAAACTATGTGCTGCATGTGTACACTCCGCCTATGGTTAGTCTACTCCAGAACAACGCCTGGAGAGGTTCATTGGGGGCATGATGTCCCCCACCCCATCCCCCTTGCCCCCTGCACCTGAAGTACCGGTATTGCCCCTCCCCCCCCCCCCCCCCAAATAAAGTACAGGACACAGATGGAGCACTGGGGAGCACGTAGCAGTAGGCAAGTTGACGATGCCAGTGCAGACACACCTCACCTCGGTCACCACACTGGCACAGTCATATGGTCTCCAAGGAACATAGCTACCAGAGAACACACAGAATGGGAGTATATATGAGCGTTAGCATGCTAACGCAAGTTAGCAGCCAGCCCAGCGAGCTGGCCCGATTTACGCGCATGCGCAAACCTCTCGGGCGTGCGCCCAAAACGATCCCGTGCAAGGTCTCTTGCAGGATCATTGCTGTTGTTGACTTTTGAGCTTGTAACTCGCAGAACGTTTTTGTCACCAAGAAGAACGGGAAATTACGAATGATACACCATTTGTCCAGCCCGGAGGGTCAGAGTGTCAATGATTGTATCCCAGCAGACCCCTTTTCTCTCCATTATGTCACTATTGACGATGCTGTTAATCTTATCATGCAATTGCCTGCCCCAGTATATCTTGCTAAGCTCGATGTCAAAAGTGCATTCCGCCAAATTCCTGTCCGCCCGGAGGATTGGCCCCTGTTGGGCATCCGCTGGCAGGGTCAATACTTCTACGAGCGCGTTCTCCCCTTCGGACTACGCTCAAGCCCTGCCATATTTGACTCTGTCGCATCCGCCATAGAATGGATAATGCAAGAGCAGTTCGCTATCCCACACCTGCTGCACTATCTCGACGACTTTCTCAATGCATGCTCTGGATCTGTAGTAGCCCACCAGCAACTCGCTATTCTGCTGCGTGCTTTCACATACCTCGGCGTACCCCTGGCCCCAGCAAAAGTGGAGGGTCCAGCTCAAGTCCTGACTTTTCTCGGCATTATTCTTGACACCCGCCGCCTCGAAGCCCGCCTGCCTATGGACAAACTTTCCGAGCTTCGGGACCTCCTACGGGCCACTCTGTACTCTGTGTCAATTTCGCAACGTCAACTCGAGTCTCTTCTGGGAAAGCTCTCGTTTGCCGCGAGAGTGGTAGTCCCAGGACGCACATTCATGCGCAGACTGTGGTCAACTGCCAGCCGGTACCAGCAGCCCTATTACCGGATCAAGCTCTCTGAAGAGTGCCTCGAAGATTTGCGCTGGTGGCTCAAGCTCTTGGACCAGTGGAACGGCCGGTCGTTCTTCTTACATCCCAACTGGACGCCGTCCCCGGACTTGCAACTATACACCGATGCAAGTGGTGCCATTGGCTGGGGCGCGTACAATTCCGGCCGATGGATACAGGGCAGGTGGACAGACAGCCAAGCAGAGCATAGCATCGACTGGAAAGAGCTGTTTGCAGTTGTGGCAGCCTGCAGTACCTGGGGAAGCGAGTGGCCTCAGCTGCGAATATTAATTCACTGCGACAACATGGTGGTAGTGGAGTGTATCCGTTCCGGCACCTCCCGATCTCCAGCACTGATGGTTCTGCTGCGGGAGCTGTTCTTTGTATGCGCTGGGCACAATTTCACTGTTTCTGCTAAGCATATTCCAGGAGCCAATAACACTATCGCCGATCGTCTCTCTCGTTTCTGCATGCAGGACTTCCGCAAAGCAGCACCGTCAGCTCGCATGGAGGCAGACACGGCCCGTCTGCCGCACCAGCTGATGTAGCTTACTATGCATCACAGGCTATCGCCCCAAACACTCGGCGCACCTATCACGCAGGCGAAAGCCGCTACATACAATTTTGCTCTCTCAATCAATTCTCGTTATTTCCTGCCACTGATGTTATACTGAGCATGTTTGCTGCCTACCTAGCCAGGTCAGTCCAGCCCAGTACTATTCGTGTGTATCTGTCTGCTGTACGCAACCTACACCTAGAAGCGGGCCATGCGGACCCTCTGGGCGACACCTGGCTACTGGGCCGAGTTTTGAAAGGCATAGACCGTTGCCACGGGAACTCAGCCACTCGTCCCCGGTTGCCAATCACAGTGCGTATGGTGCACCAACTGGTTGATGCCTGTCATCGCTGCACTACCCTGAATGACAGTGATAAACGTCTTTATGTTGCAGCCATGCTGAGTGCTTTCTATGGGTTCCTGAGATGCGCGGAATTTACCAGCATAGTACGTCGTCGCGACGTCAAGTTCGAGCAGGGGGCAGCACTCATATTCCTCCGCACTTCCAAGACCGACCCGTCGGGCCGAGGGGTAACCATAACAATAGGCCCAGCATCGCCCCCGTATTGTGCAGTCTCCGCGCTGCTCCAATACCTGCTGGGAACTCGCAGCTCGGCCAGCCCGGACCGGCCCCTGTTTGTGCTGAGTAATGGTCAGCCTCTATCACGACCGGCATTTACGGCAACTGTGAGGATGCTGCTCACCAGTTGCGGCTTTGACTCGGCATTGTATGCTGGCCACTCATTCCGGATAGGTGCCGCCACCACAGCAGCGCTGGCCGGGCTGCCAGACTCCGTAATCAGAGAGGCGGGCAGATGGAAGAGCGATGCCTGCCTGAGGTACATTCGTACGCCGACTGCAGCCAAGGCACGGGTGGCTGCGGCAATGGCCTCAGCCCCTGATATCAAATTCTGACTAGCTTGAGCTGCTTACAGCCTGCACGGGTAACTGTTCTAACTTCTCTGGCCCGTTCCGGGAGTGCCGATTTATGGAATATATGCTCTCAACTGGTTTTCCGCATACCTATATATTAAGCATTTGGCGGCTCCATGCGGAGTCATTTGGCGGCTCCATGCGGAGTCAGTTGGCGGCTCAGCTGCGAGCCATCTAGCGGCTCCAAGCGGGGCCATCATACGCATGCTCGATAGTTTAACCAGTTGCTCGTATCGGCACTCCCGGCGTAACCCAACATACTGTTGCTCTGTTGTAAGGTGGGGGGATGCTAAATGAGCGTTAGCATGCTAACGCAAGTTAGCAGCCAGCCCAGCGAGCTGGCCCGATTTACGCGCATGCGCAAACCTCTCGGGCGTGCGCCCAAAACGATCCCGTGCAAGGTCTCTTGCAGGATCATTGCTGTTGTTGACTTTTGAGCTTGTAACTCGCAGAACGCTTTTGTTCCCACCCTCCCACCCTCTATCTCAACTCACGTTTCTGGCTCATACGTGAATATATGCTCTCAACTGGTTTTCCGCATACCTATATATTTAGCATTTGGCGGCTCCATGCGGAGTCATTTGGCGGCTCCATGCGGAGTCAGTTGGCGGCTCAGCTGCGAGCCATCTAGCGGCTCCAAGCGGGGCCATCATACGCATGCTCGATAGTTTAACCAGTTGCTCGTATCGGCACTCCCGGCGTAACCCAACATACTGTTGCTCTGTTGTAAGGTGGGGGGATGCTAAAGTGCTATCCCGGAGGATAGACAACCTCCTATACAAAAATACCTACTGATAGAGTTCTGTGTAGACCCTATGTGCACATATGTGTGGATGAGTACTGGTAAACGGACAGCTAACCCTAGTCTAAGTAAAATAAATGTAGAATGTAGACCCTGGGCAAAAAAATAAGTAAATAAAAATAATAGCAACACATGAGGGAACTCGGATGGAGAGCCAAGGATTAAAATTAAAAAGAGGACCATAAGTTTACGAGTTATCCGTTTTTTCCAACACTAACGGGTATAAACGTGATGCAGCTAAGCATCAGGTCGTTGAATGTCATGATCTCATCAGTCAGTTTTTGTGCTGATTGTTGCACATTTTTGACTCAGCAGTATTCTGCATATAACCGTTAGTGTTGGACAAAACGGATAACTTGTAAACATGAGGGAACACTCATCCTTACCCAAGTCCCAACGTCAGCACTCGGCGCCGCTCCGAACCAAGAGGAACATTGGAGAGATCGTCCATCAGCTCCTCTCTCGTCCTGCGATCAAATCGCCTAATGCTAAAACACAAGAAGATAGGAAAGGCAAGTAGAATAAATAAATCAATAATAAACAACAATACAAGTTTGAACAGCTGCAAACGTAATGGACGATCCGAACAAGACCAATGATATACCTAGAAATTCTAGAAGGCACTAGGAAACATCCATACCTGCTCAAACTGAAGAGGACAACATAGAAAAAGGTAAAAGAGGGCACTACTCATGTGTTCCTGGGATAGCTATGGTCTTTGCTATGCTATAGATTTGCAGTCTGATTCATCTGAAAAACGAAGTTTCAGCTTTCAAGCATTTAATTTACAGTCCTACCCTCGTTAGTATGACATCGGTTGCAAGACAAACCTCATTAGTAGACAACGATCCAAAATCCCATGAATCATTAGAAGTCGTACATGCAAGTCCTGATAAGAGATTAGACCAAATTCGTTATAACGTCCCCTTCAGCTGTCCCACAGGTTTGAATTCTCATTACAAGAAAAAGCGGATGGCCGAGGATAGCTCGATTGATATTTCATGTTGTCTTGTATCGGGGTCCGATGAAACATTGTCTGATAATGGGTTGTCTTGTACAGAGGTCTGGTGGAAAACACTGTCTAATAACAAGGAACCATCAGTTCTGACGTGGACACAATATGGATGATGCAAAGCAGCAGAAAAATGTACTCGTTATCAGACAAAAAAAGTTGATACCCCAGGGTTGTCTCCTAACAAGGGTAGACCTACGAAATAGTGGTTGCGACTTCAGCGAAGATTGTTAGGAAAGGGTTTGCTCTCGACACTGGAGCTCACGCTATTCCGCCGCCTTGACTTTACACTTGACTGACTGACAGCTGCCACCCAGAGCACACGAAAAGTCCATCCAACCTTCCACTCGGAAAACCTGCAAGAAGGGACCACTCCCTGCTCAATACACAGTGTTTCGGGAACATTTACCCTCATCAGTCGAGTTTGAGTAGGCTGAGGAAGATTGTGCCTGAGAAGCACCATTTATATAGTGCTCTCCATGTCCAAACATCACCAGGGATACAAACTTACAGAGACGCTCCGTTTGCAGCGCGACAAACACCTCGTGAGCACCAGATAGCAGTGCGAGTCAGTGTCGCTCCTGGACGGTGAAAGCTGTATATTGACACAGAGAGAGAGAGCGGGGAAAAGAGAGAGAGAGAGAGAGAGAGAGAGAGAGAGAGAGAGAGAGAGAGAGAGAGAGAGAGAGAGAGAGAGAGAGAGAGAGAGAGAGAGAGAGAGAGAGAGACACACACACACACACACACACAGACAGACAGGCAGACAGAAGGAGAAAAGACAGAGATCCGGGATGTGACATCATCATGACATCGGCCGTTGCTGTGTATGTTGGATCCAAGGTAACGAAAAGACGACACATGGGCAATCTCCATGGTTCGTGTCGCGAGCGGCTCTAGATCGTCGTTAGAGGTGTTGGGGCCAGAAACCATGAACTTGGTTTGGGTGGGGGGGGGGGCACACGCACACACACACACACACACACACACACACACACACACACACACACACACACACACACATGCATGCACACACTTGTACTTGTACTTGTTGCTCACTGCCAAAACTGGTCACGTGAGTCCCCCCGGGAGAGGGGAGAGAGACTCAAAAGGAATCTTGGAAAGATGACTCAATTGGTTATTGAACCGCCCAACGGCCGACACCCCTGAAATCCCCAAAACGCTGGGTGGACTTGAAAATGATCTCACTTATGGGCTCACCACACCTCAGTAAGTGGGTGAGGACAAGGTGCAGAAAAAAGGATTGACGGTATCAGGGTATCCGTCCCGGGATCCAACTGCAGTTACCCCTGCCCCCAGTGAAAGTAATACTTGCTACTAGTGTGAGTGGCTAAATCAGAGTGGATCTGATAAAAGCTTCACTAGCACCATTGATTACACAAGAGTTAATCTAGCCAGAAGCAGTCCATGGTTAACACGTATGCACACACCCACACACACACACACACACACACATACACACACACACACACACACACACACACACACACACACATACACACACCTTCCTTCCTTCCTTCTTACACTGCCATGACTGGCTATGTGGCCCCATACGGGGCAGACCAGGAGACGTGTTGTCCACCGGGCGGGGAACGCCGTACTCAGCGCGCGCGGGCCGCGCGAACAGCGTTACACTTGTGCGTCGCAATATCCTGTGGCCGACGAAAACTGCGCGCACAAGTGCCACAAATGAGGGGCTTCGCCACAGGCTCCATGCGGGACTGGACAATAGCGTTGACAGCGTCACGGCAGGTGACCCGCCATCCCTGTCGATCTTGGACGATGTCACCAAGCTGCTCCAGAGGATCGCCAACACACACACACACACACACACACAGACACACACAGACACACACAGACACACACACATACACACATACTTTGTACCATGTATATGCCCGTCACAAGAAAAGCACGCAAAGTTGTGGAAGTCAGGTCCCGCTGGACCAACCAGAATGGAGCTGCTACGGGCCTGAGCACGCAGCTTTCCCCATGTTGCAGAAGGCAATGCAGTGCTGCAAGTGGCAGGCAATCCTACGTGAAAAATTGGCACATACACCTCCATATTAATAATTCCAACGAGAGAGCTCAGTTGAAAGCTCAGGGCCCTCACTATCTTTTTTGCCTAGGTTATCATGCATTATGCGATAGCAATAAACAACAGTTTTATTCGGCTGAAATAAAGGATACCAATAGACCCCACTCGTACTTGGCTGAAATAAATTGTTCATCGTTGTTATTGCATTTAGTTTTTCATTTCGATATCGCACAAATAAAGAGCGCTTGGGCTTGAAGGCTAGAGAGGGCTTGACCGCCCAGGAGCTGTCGCTATGCTTAATATTTGCCTAGGTCATCATGTGTGTTGTTCGAACTGATAGAAACGTCTTTGCAATACAAAAACATGTGCATGACAATCAAAACTTTAGTTCATAAACGCACATCGATACATAACTCAAAACTCAAACTCTCAGACAGGTACATTCTACCAAGTAAAAGTAAATATAATAATAGATTACGCTTTGGTACTAGCTTATTTCATTTTTTTCAAGCCCTGTTTCAACATGTGGCCAGCAGTCTTTGCCAGAATGGTACGGAACATCAACGGAATAGGGCCAGGCTGGTGCGTAACATGATGATGGCCCCGCACACCGAACAAGTTCGAGCATGAGAGCATGTATTTTCTCCTGCTGAATGGATGCCTGTGCAGCGGTCTCTAGCTGTCAACGCGTCTTGTCACGAAGGCGGTGAGACTCCAAACGACGGGATATTTGCTCCGTCGTTTCTTGCTGTTGGCATAGCCTTTCGCAAGCACGGCGACTCTCGAGGCGGCGGGAGCTTTCTTCTCCCTTCTTCTACTCTCTGTGTAGGCACTACTGCCGACGCCGTCTGCTCAGAGCTTCAACACTGTCACCCCTGTCATTTTGCTCTTCCTCATAGTCCTCTTCTAATGATCTCAGCATTCTATTTATACAACAACTACGCCCATTAAAACACTACAATCCACCCGATCCGTACATTCCCGGCCCATCAGTACCACACCCCTAAACTTTCGAACGATAGCACGTCACTTTCTATGGTCTTTTGAAATCAAACCGCGGCCATTACAATAATGCGATCTAAACCATACCTAGGAAGGAGTTTGCTCCCCACACTGGAGCTCGCGCTATTCCGCCGACTTGACGCTTGACGGACTCACGACTGCCATCCAGAGTCGCAACCATTCTTTCTAAACCATACCGCTAATTATTTTAGTTAGCTATCCACTTACCGGTATATCCTTTACCGAAATTGTATTCTTTAACGCAATATTCTTCTTTCTTTTTCTTCTACTCCATTCCATCAGCACCCGGCCGATGGCAGGAGATTGGCATCCACTGGGCTAGCATGCAGCAGCCAAAGCTGGGGCCTTTTCTTACTCCGCTAAACCCCCTTCTTAAAACGAAACTGACGTGCATGTTCACTGCCGAATTCTGCCGAATTCCCGTCCGCCCGGAGGATTGGTCCTTGTCGATCCGCTGGCAGGATCAATACTTTTATGAGAGTGCCCTGCCCTTCAGACTGTATTACGCTCCAGTCCAGCTATATGGAACTCTGTCGCATCCGCCAGTGAATGGATTATGTGCTAGCAGTTCGCACTCACGCGCCTGTTGCATTACGGGGAATACCTCAACTAACGTTACTTCCTCAGTGCATGCTCTGGACTTGTGTTAGCTTGCCAGCAATTCGCTATTCTGCTCCGAGCGTTTACATACTTCGATGTTTCTCTGGCCCCAGCAAAAGTGGAGGGTCCAGCTCAAGTCCTGACGTTATTGGCATCATCCCATTCCGGGGAGTGCCTCGACTAACGTTTCTGTCTCCATGCATGCTCTGAACTTGTGTTAGCTCGCCAGCAACTCGCTACTCGGCGCCGCACGTTTACATACCTCGGTGTTTCTCTGGCGTCAGTAAAAGTGCTTCCTCAATGCATGCTCTGGACCTGTGTTAGCTCGCCAGCAACTCGCTACTCGGCGCCGCGCGTTTACATACCTCGGTGTTTTCTCTGGCGTCAGCAAAAGTGGAGGGTCCAGCCCACGTCCTAATGTTTATCGGCGTCATCCTGGAAACCCGCCGCGCTAACATCAGTATGCCTATGGACGAACTTGCCGAGCTTCGTGATCTCCTTCGGGCCACTCTTCACACAGCTTCAACTACCCAATGTCAACTCGAGTCTCTTCTGGGAAAGCTCCCATTTGCTACAAGAGTGATAGCCCCTGGATGCAAATTGCAGATTGTGGTCACTTGCCAACTGGTACCGGCAGCCGTGTTACCTGATCAAGCTCTCCAAAGAGTGCCTCAAAGATCTTCGCTGATGGCCTGAGCTCCTGGATTAGCGGAACGGCCGGTCCTTCTTCCTACACCCTAAATGGACGCCGTCCCCCGACTTGCTGGTATTCACTGATGCAAGTGGTGCACTTGGCCGGTGCTCGTACAATTGCGACCGGGGATAGGGCGATGGACAGTCAATCAAGCAGAGCAGCAATCGCAAAGGGTTGTTTACAATTGTGGCAGCCCGCAGCACCTGGGAAAACTAGCGGCATCAGCTGCGAATGCCAATCGATGGGCATTTACAGCAACTGCGAGGATATTGCTCATCAGTTGTGGCTTTGGCCTGGCGTTGTACACCGGCCACTCGTTTCGAATCAGCTGCGGGACTCGATATTCAGAGAGGCGGGAAGGTGGAAAGCGATGTCTGCCCGAGTAACATTCGGACGCCACCTGCAGCCAAAGTATGGGTGGCTGCGGCAATGGCCTCAGCCCATGATATCAAGTTCTGACAGTCTTTACCTAGCTTGCACCGCTTACAGATTGCACGGGTAGCTGCACTTTGTGATCCGCTCCGGGAGTGCCGATTTTTGGAATAATATGCTCTCAACTGGTTATGCATACCAATATATTTAGCATTTGGAGGCTCTACTCAGAGTCATTGGCGGCTCTACTCAGAGTCATTGGCGGCTCCATGCGGAGTCATTGGCGGCTTCATGTGGAGTCATTGGCGGCTCCATGCGGAGTCATTGGCGGTTCCAAGCGGAGTCATTGGCGGCTCCATGCGGAGTCAATTTGCGGCTCCATGCGGGGTCATTCGGCGGCTCCATGCGGGGTCATTCGGCGGCTCCATGCAGAGTCATTCGGCGGCTCCATGCGAAGTCATTCGGTGGCTCCATGCGGAGTCATTTGACGGCTCCAAGCGAAGTCATTCGCCGGCTCAGCTGCGAGCCATCTAGTGGCTCCAAGCAGAGCCATCATACCAGTTGCTCGAATCGGCACTCCCAGCTTAATCCAAAACTCGGTTGCTCTGTTGTGAGGTGGGGGGATGCTAACCTAGGAATGGGTTTGCTCCCCACACTGGAGCTCGCGCTATTCCGTCGACTTGACACTTGACGGACTCACGACTGCCATCCAGAGTCGCCACCACTATTTCTAAACCATACGGCTAATTATTTTAGTTAGCTATCCACTTACCGGTACAGCAAAACCTGTGACTACCGATCACCCCTTGGTGCCAGCAAAAGCGGTCTTTAGTAGCAGGTGGTCTTTAGTTAGAGGTTTGCACCACGTGACCATATGTGGATCCCATTATATGATATGTATGTCAAAATGCAGCTAATACAATTCCCCAGGACTTGCGCAATGTCAGAAAGACGGAGAGATGGAGAGAGAGAGAGAGAGAGAGAGAGAGAGAGAAGATTACTTTTTGCAGACTTCAAATTCAGCTGCTACTTCTGAAGCCAGGAGTCAAACGTTCCCTGGGGAAGTTTCGTTTCGCGCTGGGCTTCAAATTTGTTCATGCGATCAATCATACCGACTGTCCTTGTTGTGACTTCTCGATTGCTTGAGCATCAGGACCTTGTGGTGCTGCTTTGTTTCTGGATTCCTTGATGCCATCGCCAATCCGTCTGTATGACTGGGGTGACAGAGCTGCCCAGTCTTCGTTTCTCCTCCGAGTAGTAACATCGATCAGAGAGCGCTTTCGATGCGCTCTCCAAGACGTTTCCTATCATGTTTTTTCTTGACAGCGCTTGAAATTTTGACAGGTGTAGTGCAGTCCACACCGACTCCACAGCCCAAATTACCTGCATTCATTTGTTCAGCTGCAGTATCGAAAGATTCTTTTCAGGACCATGGAAAATCAGTAAAATTTCAAGAAGGAGCTTCGAGCAACATTTGATTTCCTACATCGCGGTCGCTAGTTACGGGTCAAAAAATGTGTTTGGGACAGGAAAAGGCGGTCGCTGGTCGCGTTCAGAAGGTAGTCGCTAGTCACAGTGCATTTTGAATGTGAGACCTTCCGTGCCTGGCGAAGTGGCCGGTAGTACCAGGCTGGTCGCTAGTGACGGTGGTCTTTAGTTACAGGTTTTACTGTATATCCCTTACCGAAATTGTATTCTTGAACGCAATATTCTTCTTTTTTTTTCTTCTACTCCGTTCCATCAGCACTCGGCCGATGGCAGGAGATTGGTACCCACTGGGCTAGCATGCAGCAGCCAAAGCTGGGGCCTTTTCTTACTCCGTCAAACCCACTTCTTAAAACGAAACTGACGTGCATATTCACATTGCATGTTGTGAATGTCCCCATATTTGCCCCGACATCTTAGCTCGTACAGCGCTCCAGATACATCTATGCTACGGTGCGCACCGCATACTCGAATTACGGTACGGGACACATACGGGATACTGCACCAACCATGGCATGCCACGTGAACCACCCTACCAGGCACCGTGACACGCACCGAATTACAGCAGTGTGGATACTGGCTAGCACCAGATGCTACTAAAGTACAACTGAATAGCGTCTTTTGCATAGCTACGGGAATAATCTCATATCCCAAGCATTGCAGCTCTGCTAATAGAATAATTCAGGTTACTCCCACTCCATTTCTCTAGTGCTTATTTTTCTGAAAAAACATCATCTTTGGCACCAGAATGCTGCCACCAAGAGTTAATTAACCAGAGTGTGCAGCCCAAAGAGAATCATCCCACGGCAAAGTTTATTGTTTAGGGCATAGACTCGCAGTAACAGGCTCACCTTTGCTGCATCTCACACCGCTTCACACGGTCATCTACTCTATCACCATGGTAATTTCTGTGGCACATTGCTGCTTGTTTAAAGGGGAAGTTAAGGCAAAAATTAATTTCACCAGTTGTAGTCTTCGGGGTGCTGAGTCGAATGGTCTTGGTCCGAGGAAGCTGAGACGCTCCCTTCCTACTTGAATCCCAATCGAACTCGCGCACTTCCACCGTAACTGGGTGACTGCGCCCTACGAGATGGGGATTTGTATGCAAAATGTCACTAAAAGCGCCATTTCGTTCTTATAAAAGCACGGATGACCGCGATTGGCCCATATGTTGTAGTCTTTTGGACGCTGAGTCGACTGGTTTTGGTCCGAAAAGGCTGCGATGCAGCGTTCCTCCTTTATTCCCAATCGAACATGGTTGAACAAGTGGTCACGTGCTCCTGGGTGCCCAAATCACCTGGTCACCACGCCAGCAGGTGACAACTTTCACACCAAGGTTCAACTCGAGTTCAACTCGAGTGACAGGACTGCACCCAAAAAAGGTCAAACAGGCTAGTAAGTTGTACCCTGCAGGCACGGTGACCAGGTGACTGGCGTACGCAGGAGCACGTGACCGCTTGTTCAACCATATTCGATTGGGAATAAAGGAGGAACGCTGCATCGCAGCCTTTTCGGACCAAAACCAGTCGACTCAGCGTCCAAAAGACTACAACATATGGGCCAATCGCGGTCATCCGTGCTTTTATAAGAACGAAATGGCGCTTTTAGTGACATTTTGCATACAAATCCCCATCTAGTAGGGCGCAGTCACCCAGTTTCGGTGGAAGTGCGCGAGTTCGATTGGGATTCAAGTAGGAAGGGAGCGTCTCAGCTTCCTCAGACCACGACCATTCGACTCAGCACCCCGAAGACTACAACTGGTGAAATTTTAATTTTTGCCTTAACTTCCCCTTTAACAAAAACGTAGAAAACACACCGAATTTCCAGGTAATTACCATGGTGATACGGTACTTTAGCTTGAACCTATTGTATGACAGGTTTTCTACGATTCATAATGACCTAGGGAATAACTAACAGTTAGCGACGCAATTCTTCTGAGGTGTAAAGTGACTTCAGGAATACATGTATGTTGCAGAAAACTGCGATGCGTGCTGATTATTTACTGTGCCCTATTGTGCACCATATACCTGGTGGGTTACTCAGGGATAAAGTAGATGCACACAAGTACCGTGCATCACGGCACACGCTAGGTTCGCAACTAGCTGCTACAGTGTACTTGTGGTCCGAACTTGCACTCTACTCAGCTCTGCATACGCAAAGAGTGCTGGTGCCGAAATGAACCAGAAGGGTGCTGAGTGGGACGCAACAACACTGACTCTGTATACCCATGTACACAGATATGATAGGGTATGCAGTACCTGCTCTAAGATTTAACACAAACCGGGTACACGTCTACCTGGCACAACTCCTGCAACACTGGGCCAGGGCCAGATGCGTTCAAGTGCGGCTACTGTGTGTCAGGGAGTCGTAAACTTACTTTCGACTTCCTGATGTACATGATTGTACATGTACATGTATGAACGTACTCGCACTGGGCACTCTGGCCGCACGCATCTGCACGCGTATGCAGCCTGTCAGTGGCGGTATACCCTCGAAGTTTAAAAAAGTATAGTACTCGACAGGACTTCCGACCGGGTCGCAGGTAACCCAGTGTTCTTTTTCCAAAAGGTCCAAGTACTCACAAACAGGGCCACTGACCTGGCTCTGGAGCAGACACTGGTAATCTAGGTCCAAGTTTGCTCGATTATGTTCTGACGCTTCATGTGCTTTCATAGCCAAGGTTTCTCACTTTCTTCGCAAGCTCTTTTAGTCTCGAGAGTTGACAACTGCTTATGGTTGTGTTGGCAGAAAACATGTCAGCTAATCTGACAACTGTCCAACCCCATTTTACTGGTGAGTAGTCAGCGAGTGGCTTTGATGGGGCCATACTAGAGGGGAAGTTACGCGGCATATTTGTGCTTCCTTTTTGAAAACACGTTCTCGCTCGAAGGGTTTCTAAACTTTATCCCTGCGCTCATTGATGGAGTTCATCGATGGAGTTGCCAGCGGCACTCTACAGAAGAACAATGTTGTCAAGTTTTTTTATGAAAAATTGTCAAACATTTTCAAATTGCTATAAGTTTGGTTAGGGCCGGGTTCCACTGCGGCTCCGCAGCTCCACGGTACTTGGCTGCAAGCAGCAGAGCGGCGCGGTTCCAGTGACACTCGCCATTCACGGTACCGCGATCGTGCTCGACGTTTTTTGATGACATTTAGCCTGCCTGCGCGCGCGTGAAATCCAAAAAAAATCCTCGTGTTCTGGCCTGTGCAACGAATTAAAATTCCCCCGAATAAAACAATTAAGTGCGGGAAACAATGCAAGCCGTGACCGCGGCTTGCATTTTTTTGTATCAAGCAGCGAAGCGAAAGCTGGTGATGAGCCGCGGCCTCGCTGGACCAGCTCGTAACGATGACGTTTCATGCCGTGGATGATGTGCGGCGGAGCGGCAGTGGAACCCAGCCCTTAGGCAAAGGAAATTTGTCATTAATTTGTTTATGCTGCATAGATGGAGAGCTGCACACTCTGGCTTATGGACTCTCGCCTACAGTGTAGTCGTACTGCTAGTGTACTGGCATTACAGAAGACACGAAAAACGAGAACATAATTATGGCGAGAAAGTAATTACTGGCTAAGAATTGCCCTAGGACTTACCGCTTCTCAGTGCTCCATACCAGGAAGTAGTACAATACCTACTCCCTGCTCCATACGAGTGTTTTCTCCTCATTCTCTGCATCCTTTACCCCAGGAGTCTCGTCCATTTAGCGGCTCAAATGCTTGAGCTCCGGATAGCGGAAAATAGCTCGTCGTCCATTAGCGGCTCTAATAGTACCTGGTCTGAAGTGTCGCAGTCTAGCAACTATGATTTTTTCCAGGAGGGTAAGGGTTGCAAACCCAAAGAGACCCTAAGCTTCGTCTATCAAACAAAACAATTGCCCTAAAAAATGGAAGAGGAAAAGAGTGAGCGAGCTGGTCTGAGCGCGCTACTTTTCAAAAAATAGAAGCTGAAAGCCATCAAAGTCAAAGCATTCTGGCTAGCGCGTTTGTGTATGTCACGAGCGCTAGCGCGCTAGTCGCAGCAAACGCTCGCAGGCCAGAGTTAGCGCTATTTGGGCTGTTTGCCGCACGCGGCAGCTGGATGGATCACGTGATCTAAGCTGACAAATAAGGTCCGATGGTTCAGCTACATTGAGCCACAAGCCTTCATCACATCTACTACCGACGACTCGATCCCGGGGAGGGAGCACAACAGCTTTACCTCGGAATCCGCCAGTCCACGAACGGCAGATTTAGTTGGAGGCATGGCGGAGGTGACCCAACGCTATCAGATGCCTACCTAGTTTTCTACTACTACTACAAACTAATACCTAAATCCTAATATTTGAAACCAGGCCGGCCTGATGCCGGTGTTCCTGGCGAGAAACTGTGGGACCCTCAGAGCGCGAAAACCTGCACCCTGCTCCAAAGTTTGAAATTTTTTACTATGTACATGTACAGGTATAATGCATGTAGTGTGAGTTGCCAGTGCAAGACTTATTACAGGACTGTGCCGCGAAATCGTGCGAATTCACGGACGCATCTCAACTGATGACGTAATCACATAGCTCAGTGTTTTGTTTTCACACCTGCAAGGCCCCTTTCTGAAACTTGAAAGAGCCTTGCACAGACTCTTTCAGAAGGGGCCTAGAAAAAACTGGTGATGTCTGCATTGTTACAGTATAGGATGCAGATTTCACCCGTTGCCATGACACTGGTTGTAGGGTAACACACATGTACACGTACATTTTTGCATAAGCTAGACTACATCTCTAGTAGTAGAATTTATTATCTCATTAGGGAACTCCCAACAGGCGTTGGCTTTTTACTGGGAACCCTAGGAATGACTTGGTGCTTGTGACAAATGCAGAAAGGGGCTGAGCTTGACGACATCCAGGTGGAAGCATGTTCCGTCTGTCTGCTGCCAAAAATGAAATAGCATTCAGGCCGTAACGAGACGTAGCTCTGGGTAGGTTCAGAGCAGCTGAAGCTTGACCGCGGGTAGCAGCATTTGTATCTCTGACCCTTGCCCATTGAAACATACATGTACTTGCACATGCCTTTTGTGCATGTACATGTAGTGATGTACATGTTTAAAAATAAATTAAAAATAAATTAAAAATTCGACGGGTTCGCGTACCGGGCAGGTCAAGAACAAGGATTCGTAAAACTCCCTGGTCAAGAACCACCTTTCCGCTTCCGTGGGACCCCACCACCCCATGATCAGGCGTCAGATGCGGCTCCTAAACGGTGGGGGAGGATAGATCAGATCCACCAACCATAGGCCAAAGGCCTAACTCCCATTTGCCACATCCATGTTCTGGATACGACGTCAACTTGTATCCGAGGGAAACCAGGCTTCGTCTCTACAATGCCATCGTCCTACCAACACTGTTATACAACTGCGAAACCTGGGGACTGACAGAGGCTGCACTGGAGAAGCTGAACGCCTTCCATAGACGTCAACTACGGAACTTGTTCGGAATTAGGTATCCCGCCATCATCTCCAACAAAGACCTATATTCCAGAGCACACACACAGCCACTTTCGCACACCGTTGCTGTCCGCCGTTTCCGGATGTTGGGTCATGTTCTGAGGATGCCCTCAGATGCCCCGCCACAGCAGGCAATGGACAACTACTTCCGTCGAGATGTCACCGTTGTGCGTGGACGCCCGAAATCGAACCTGGCCACGGCAGTCAAGGCAAGCACAGCTGCCAGAGACATGCCACTGAAGACCATGACTGATCTGAGTGGGCTCAGAATGCGCGCTTTGGACAAGCAATCATGGAGGGAACTCTCAGCCTGAGCTGGTTTTGCTCGCGGCTGCAACGCACGGGGTAGTGAACCCAGGACAGAAGCGGACCAGGCATCATGACTTTGCACATCTATCGTTATGCTGCTTCATTACGCGACCTGTTTTATTATTATTATTATTATTATTATTATTATTATTATTATTATTATTATTATGTTTTACATGTGTAGGAGTTGCGGAAATTTCTAGTTAGTAAAGCCTAGTTCACATTCGACGGGGCGCAACGGGACGCGACGTAAGGATCGACGGGAAGCGACGGGACGGTCTGACGGCGTCCAATGAGAACACCAGGAACCGGAACGCAACCGTACTACCGTACAGATCGGGAAGCGACGGGAAGAGTTGGATCGATCCAACTTTTCATACCGTAGACGGGCGTAGACGGGGACGCAAGCGTACAAAACGGCTGCAATTCGAGTGTGAACAGGAGACGGCGTCGTGCGCCGACTACTCCCGATTCGTACTTGGATATTTTTAGCATTTCGAACACTGCGCTTCCCATGATAACTCACAGAATAGCAAGCACGACTTGAGTTGAATTTTAGCAACATAAGATCTCATGTCCCTTATTGTATTTAGGGATAGTTCAGAAGCGTGACAGACGAACTATTCTATCATTTCCTTGGGCTATTATTTGAATGCCACAACTTTCAGGGCTAATTTTTTGATCTTCATGAAAACCTGGTATTGTGAACTTGATTCCGCTTCTTTCAAGGAGAAATAATTAAAAAGAAGTCTCGAAAAACGAGAAATTAGGTCCGAAAGTCACTCCGTCACGGACCATGCCTTATGACTCGCGCCGTTCGACGTTGAACGTCGCAAGGACTGCTGCATGTCGTGTCGTACGAATCGTACAGGATTTTACAGCTCACCCCAGCCCTCCCGACAAGCCCTTACGTCCCGTACCGTCGGCGTTGCGTCGAATGTGAACTAGGCTTAAGGGGCAGTGCCTAGTCCCCAGTCCCGGACGGCCCGAATATGAGAGATACGTGTACGTGTATCTCGTCTGTGACTCTGATTCCTGAGCAAAGGAAACACATGGTTTTAGTCTGGAGAATACATTCGAATGTCGAAGCTCGAATCTACGAAGTGCAATCCCTATTCGTGTAAACCATGAAATATTAATTCAATACTTCTGAAGTAGTCTACGGCACAATCAGAGCATGCAACCGCCACTGATCACGGGCTATTACAAATGGCAAGCATGCAATGATGTCATAAATTATCAAACTCATAATGACAGGGTAATGACTGTTAGGATCAGGGAGTCGTAAAATACCGGTATTTTACGACTCCTGTTTATGATAAAATCAATCCTGTCCGACAGAGACTCCTCGGCGGGTACATCCTCTCCACCCCCCCCCCCTTGCACTCCCTAGGAACACACCCATGTACTCTTTGCTCGGTAAGATGACGTCATGATGACATCATCCATATCAGGCAGTGACTCATCTTGTGTGCCCCCTGCATAGTGCATACGCACATGCACACAGTGAGTTTATGCATGCGGCCACACCGATATACACAGGGCTGCAAAATTAAATTCGTGTGAGTCACGGCATGCCCTGTACCCGCGTCCCGCTCAAGCCCAGCCTACGCAGGTCAGAAGCCAGAAGCCGGAACCCCCCCCCCCCCCCCTACTGAATTTTGACAACTCATGCTACCGGATATCATTGAGTAGCACTGAATAAGTAGAAACACAGGAAAGCATGCGGTCAGACAAGAATGTCAGCCAACCAGTGACAGTGAGCATCATAAGCAAAATATGCCGAATAGACCAATAAGTAATAGCGAATAGACAGCTGGGAGCACATGTTAAAAACACTCCATACCCAATCTACAATCTACAGTACACGGTTAGGATCTAGTTAGGCAACCGGCTCTGTTATCACCGTCCAAGGTTCTTGACGATACCAGGGCAATCACCAGCGCTGCAGCCAGTAGAACAAAACTGAAATACGACACTATACAATGGATGCACCGAGTCTTTGGCAGAAAACTTCAAAAGATAACGAAAAACTAGCTGAAAGAAACATGCATGCGCTGGGGAATTCCCGCATCAGTAATAATAAAACCAGAAAGAACACGTGTTTTGCCCATAAATACATGTATAATAATTATTATATAATTGCAGACAATGTGCTCCAGGAAAGTGAGAGTAAATGATGCAAATTAAGGCACGGTCAAATCATGTGAAAGATGCAGCCGTCTTGATTATCATATGTCCGATATCGGACTTACAATTGGCTCTATGTGTTGCACTGGGCAAGCGATCATACTAGGATGACGTGATGATGACATCATCGATATCAGACATTAACACACTGGGTGTATCGGACCTATTATAGGCTGTACGTGTTGCACTGCCACTAATGAACGCAGTCATGCGCATGCGCGACCGCAATCAATTCTATTGTCTAATGATTACGTAAAATTAATACATCATCACTAGAGAATCTTTACATGGAATGACCATGTCGCTACACAGCAATGTACTAGTACCAGTCTACCACTGAATACTCAATGGACATGAGAAAATATGCTGACTCATCAGCATGACATCATCATTGGCATAACTTCAAGAAATAGATATACAAAACATTACACCAGTAACTACACTGTATGCATACAATGTCAAGTGATCAGTTTCCATGAGTATCTGCTTTAGCAGTTACAAATGTACAAATGTACACAGTGCCAATGCTCAGTGGGTATCTCCACATACACTAGTGAGGGTCCGCCGGCATGAAACACTAACCGAAAATAGTGTACATCTGCGGTTTGCTTGCAGCTAAACTGGCTAGAAGTTCTGCCAAACGATCGTTCAGGAGCGTCTTCGGAGACATTCGAAGCCACAGCAACCTCCTACTGCCACCTACAGCCCTGGCAAACTCTGTACTTCCCGTCTCGTTTTCAATCTGAAAATCATTGCCAGTGAATTCAAGAAAACCAAGACAAGGGCATGACGTAAGGATGCCAGCGAGAACAGAAAGTGATTGTGATGTAAGACCTGTGTTATCGAAGGACAACATCTGCAGTGATGTACACCGCATGAGGCATGGAGCAACACCGCACAGGAAAGTGTCGGTGAGACAATTGTGGTCGATTTCAAATGTGAACAGCCAACGATGATGTTCAGTTAGAAAGCGCCCTACCAGAGGTGCACTCTGTGAAGACAATCCTGCACCCAACAAAGCCAGCCCAGCAAATGGTTTTGAAATCAGTAATGGAAGGAGCATAGCGAGACCCACATCACCAATCA